TATCCAAAAGATATGAAGAAGGACATTTTATATTCATCACAGGAGAAGTCCATCAAGATGAAGTCTCAACCCTGAAAACTTATGCCCCAGATACAAGGATGACCACACTTGTAAAAGAAACACTACTAAAACTTAAATGACACATCAAACCCCACACACTAATAGTGGGAAATTTAAACAGCCCACTCTCACCACTGGAAAGGTCTGCCAGACAGAAAATTAACAGAGAAACAAGGGAACTATCAGATGTTATAACTCAAATGTGCTTAATAGACATCTATAGAACATTTTACCCAAACACAAAAGGATATTCCTTCTTCTCAGCACCTCATGGAACTTTCTCTAAAACTTACCACATATTTGATCACAAAACAAATCTACACAGATTAAAAAAAAACATTGAAATAACCCCTGTATCTTAACGTATCACCATGGCTTAAAGTTAGAACTGAGCAACAATGCAAACTACGGAAAGCTTGGAAACTCAGGAAAACTGAGTAATGCTCAGCTGAATCACCCCTGGGTCAAGGAAGAAATAAAGAAAGAAATTAAAGATTTCCTAGAATTCAGTGAATATGAATGTATAACATATCCAAACTTATGGAGCACTTTGAAAGCAGTACTAAGAGGAAAGTTCATAGCACTAAATGTCTATATAAAGTAGTTGGAGAAATCCCACATAGCCAATTAACAGAACACCTGAAAGCTCTAGAACAAAAAGAAGCAAAGTCAGCCAGGAGGAGTAGACACCAGGAGATAATTAATTTGAGGGCTGAAATCAATAAAATAGAAACAAAGAGAACAATACAAAGAATCAATAAAACAAATTGGATCTTCTAGAAAATCAACAAGACAGACAAACCCTTATCAAAATTAACTAAAAGGCAGAGAGAGAAGATTCAAATTTCAAAAATCAGAAATGAAAAGGAGAACATAACAACAGACACTGAGGAAATTTAGAGAATCATCAGATCATACTTCAAAAACTCGAACTCCATAAAATTGGAAAATTTAAAGGAAATGGACAACTTTCTAAATAGGTTCCATATACTAAAATTAAATTAACACCAGCTAAACAATTTAAACAGACCTATAACCCCTAAGGAAATAGAAGTAATCATTAAAAGTCTCCCAACCAAAAAAAGTCCCAGAACCAGATGACTTCAGTGCAAGAGTCTACCAGAATCTCAAAGAGCTAATTGTTCCACACAATAGAAACAGAATGATTATTGTCAAACTTTTATGATGCTACAATTACCCTGATACCCTCAATAGATCAAAGTCTATACCAATACAAAGCATTCATCTCTGTATCATATATCCTTTTAAATGAAAACAAATATTTATAATCGGTAATTTTGGGAATTTGGGCATTGTTCTCTGCAAACTGTTTCCTGTAGTGTAGCTCACAAACCCCATTCAAGTTCCTCATAATAGGACCTCCTAAAAGAGCCAGAGCATTCTGTGCCCCAGCACAAACCAGGAAGCCTTTTGTTAAAGGAGCAGTGGCCTGGCTCACTGCCAGCAAACAGAGCTTATCTGAAAACATATGGCTACCAAGAAACTCTAATTGACTCCCATTTTTGTGGGTCTAGGAGTGCTTTCTAAAAAGTTTTTTAGGCTTTATATGGTTATACATTGCTGAACGTTGGGTGTCATTATGTAAATGACAGCTGAACCAATCTCATGAAAACTCATGAACTCTAGACCGACGGCTGTGGAGCCTTCATGGGACTGACCTAGACCCTCTCCATGTGTGGGAGACAGTGGTGAAACTTGGACTATCTGTGAAACACCTGGCAATAGGACCAGGATCTATCCTTGGTGCATGAACTAGCTTATTGGAGCCCATTCTCTAGCGTTGAATGCTATGCTCAACTTTAATGGAGGGGGAAGGGGCTCGGTCCTGCACCAACTAACTGTGCTTGTTGACTTCGCATGGGAGCCCTTACCCATTGTTAGGAATGGTTAGGTGGTGGACTTGGGGGAAGGTGAGAAGGGGGAGGGAGGAGGACAGGGGGAGAACTGTGGATGGAATATAAAATAAAATAAAATAAAATGAATCATTTAAATTAAAAAAAGAATAAACTCCTTAGCTACACATGGTGGCACATGTCTTATAAGTATTGGGATTAAAGGTATGTGCCACCATGTGTAGCTCAGGAGTTTATTCTTTTTTTAAATTTAAATGATTTATTTTATTTTATTTTATTTTGAGTTCAAGGCCAGACTGGTCTGCAAAACAAGTTCCAGGACAACCAGAACTACATAGAGAATTTTTTGAAAAAAAGTCCTGGATGAATTCTAAGAGATTCAAATATATAGCTGAATAAAATAATGAAGACAAAGGCAGGCGGTGGTGGCGCACTCTTTTAATCCCAGCACTCGGGAGGCAGAGACAGGCAGATCTCTGTGAGTTCGAGGCTAGCGTGGTCTACAAGAGCTAGTTCCAGGATAGGCTTCAAAGCTACAGGTAAACCTTGTCTCAAAAAGCAAAAAAAAAAAAAAATGAAGACAATTCAGAATCTGAAAATAGAACTGACCAAAGTGAGAGAGATAGGGAAGAAAATTCAATCAGGAATGAGGCTGGAAGTGTAAAATTTAATCGGTCACATAAAAAGTAGAATGGAAAGTGTCATCAACACATGATCATGTGGAGAACAGAAAATCAGAACTTGGAGGCAAGGTGAAAGAACTGGATCATTAGGTCAAAGAAAACAATGAATCTTAGCCATAGAAATGCAACATGTGAAGCCTTTGGGACATGCAGAAAAGAACAAGCCTAAATATGTACAGAAGATGGAAAAGAATTACAGGTCAAAGATGCAGATATATCTTGAATAAAACCATAGAAGAAATTTTACCAAAACCATGAAGAGGCCCACATTGTAAGTATATCTGTTATTAATACTGATTGCATCAATAATATCAAAACCTTTTTTCTGCCTTGCACTCTCCTTCCCTGCCCTCCTCCCCTCTGAACTAAGTATCTTTCTATGTTGCTGCCCTCAATAACATGCCATTCTTTCCTTGACCTCCCAAATGTTGTGATTAGTACAGCACCTACCTGAGGATACTTTCCTGACATCAGACTTTTCCCCCATTAATTCTTTGAAGTATCTTTGTGAAACATAGCTCTCACTTCAATGGGAATAAGAGACGAAGTATTTCAGGGGGAACTATAAGTGGTCATTGCGCAGGAACACGGGTTGAGATGATCACAAATGCTGTGTTCCAACATGTGACAGTTTAATGACGTTTCTGTGGCAATGGAACAAAAGAAAGCCATCAATCAAGGCATTTTTCAAATACTTTGGTGAAAATATTAAGCAAGTGGGTTATAGCAAAGTGGGGAAATCCGTAGTACGATTAGTAAAAACCCAGAGACAGAAATTGGGGTTCAACCTGAAGGTCAGAAAAGCAAAACAACAAGCCACCCACTGACTCTTACCTCTACCTCAGCCCGAAATGGTGATCCGGCCTCCAGAAATCTCAGAATGAGACTGTCTGAGAGCTGTCTCCTCCTGTTTTATAATTTTCTCCAGGGTTGGGATTAAAGGCATGAACCACTACCACCCGGTTTCTATGGCAAACTAGTGTGGCTACTGGGATTAAAAGTATGTATCACCACTGCCTGATCTATAAGGCTGATTGGTGCAGCGGTTTTACTCTCTGAACTTCAGGCAAACTTTATTTATTAAAATACAAATAAAATATCACTACATAAATCTCTACCATAGACATCAGATAATATCTCATAGCATGCTTAACCTTGGGTTAGTGGCAGCTAGTGATCTGCCCACATATTCCAAAAGGATTTATTTGTTAGTTACAAAGATACTTGTTCAGACACTATCAAGGACAATTAACAATTATTAAGTAGTTAATGGTAGTCCAGAATAATTTGACCTCAAACCCACAACATTTCAATTCTCATTGCCATGGGGATTCTAGGCAGTTGCTCCCTTGGAACTTTTCAGTCTATAGAAAGTAGATTTCAAGGGTGTGGCAGAGGAATTTTTAGTTTTATACTTTTAGTGTTTGTTCTTTGGATGTACTCAATGATCCCACTACTAAACTCAGAGTAAACATTAATTACCAACTATTGTTTTCTATATTGTTGCTTTCTGAAATGCAAGGAGATGTATTACTGTTTTTTGTTAATTTATTGTTTGAGACTTTCATACACATATATAACACACTGTGGTCACACTAACCAACCCACTCAGTTATCCACCTCATCCTAATCCCTCCCTTTTTTACCAACCCACCAACTATAGCATGCTGTTTTTTTTTATTTTGCTCTGTGACCTACTGCATTTCTTGATGCTATTGCTTTTTCTTTTCACTATTTTCTTAGCAGATAAATGAAGTATAGGCATAGAGCTTGCTTTGATTCAGCTGTGATTCCAAGGCTATAGACCAAGCTTTGTCACATTGAATCACTTCCCAAGCATTGTACTTTGCTCTCTAATATACCCCGATAAACTGATTATTAAATTTCAGATGTAATGGCCACTAGCTTTCTGCACTATAAACTATAGTGCAGACCTCTCAGTTTCTGAAAATCTCCAATGCTTGCAAAGGATCTAGGAAACTATAAATGGAAATATCCCTGTGGGATGCTTGTCTCTCCTTATATTTTGCCCTCTCCTGACTTAATTCTAAATCATTCATTTGCAGCAAACCTCTGTGCAATAATTAACAAAAGACCAGGTCATGCTGCAAACTCTCCTTCTTGTATTTGACTAGCTCTCAGACACCCTAACTGAGTAGGAAACAGTGTGGGGCCATCCTGCCTTCATACTCTAGTCCCCAGAACCTCACTGGAGACATAGAACCCGAGATGTTTCCTAGAAGCTCCGGGGCACTCTGAGGAAAGGCGCAGGTGGCCTCTCAGCTGAGCATCAAGTGGCTGTGCTTGCTGAGAAGGATGTGGGTTGGCGCAGGTGGGAGATGGTTCTTATGCAGGCTGTTCTGGAAGCTCTAATGTTGTGCTAAGTCCAGACTGCACAGTAGTAAAAGGCTTCATCTTCTTTCTTCAGGAAATTTACTTTCAAGGTTGAAGTAGAAGTTTGACTATCTTTACTCACTTCAATTTTCTTGTTTATCCCATCTAAGGGACGTTGATTATAGCTTTGCCTGACATGTATTAGATAGTCAAACTGTTGATTTTCTTTCTGACGGTACCAATGTATATATGTGTCGCCAAGGTCTGGAGAGACTTTACAAGCTATTTGAGCACTCTCGCCTATTGCTTTGGTGACTGATATTTCAGGTTGCTCCAACTGCCCAAGTCCAACTGCAAGCAAAGAGAAAATTCTCATGAACAACGTGAGCAGCATTTGAAGAAACAGAAATGAGGATGAGTTCATTGCCCCTTGCATGTGGAAATGTCTACTTACACACCCAGAGGTGGGAGAAGGTGAACACACTCAGGAGCAACATCCCAACTGTCAGGCTGCTTCAGAAAGAGGCAGGAAGTAGTCTGTGAGCTGGAGTCTCAGGTCACAAGCAGGAGGGTGTGGGCTGTCCCAGTGCCTCAGAGAAATGCAGGGTCAGTGGATTCCCCGGGGTGGGTGATGATCTATTCCAGTTCTGAGCAGTTCTGGGGTTTCCAGCCCCACAGCAGCAGGTCAGATGCATATGTAGGTTAAAGGCCTAAGAAATATCCTTTGTCTGTATGTCTTCATTTGATAGAGTAGGGAGAATCACCAGTCAGTCCCTCACTCTACTGTAGTTATGTTGCCTGGATAGCAAAAAGAGACATCTGTTATGTTCTGTCTATGTTTTTGTCATTTGCTAATGATCCAAAACCCAGATACAAAGGTTGACTATGATGTTCTGCACCAGGAAGGAAAAAATCCTCAGATGCTATATTTGGCAGACACTCTGTGTATAAGGACATAAATATGTTCTGTTTTCTTCTATCAACTCCAAAGTCATGCAGTAGATTGTGACTTGGGTAATTACATTTCATTTCTAATATAGGAACTTTGAAGAAAAACTTGATTAAATACTTGTTAACAGGTATAAGCAAGCACATCTATGTAAAGTGTCATTTCCTCTTTGTGGAGCATGGAGTCAAATATATTAAGTAGAAACCGCCATTATTAACATTCAGTGGTAGCTTTAATGTTAGTTGACATTAGTGCTTCATAGCCATTGGAGATTTCTCAGGCATTTGACAAGCTTTATTACAAGACTTCATTCAACCCTGTCCACAGTCCTATGCAGTGTTCTTCTCCCTTTGACAAACGGAGAGGGTGATAAAAAGAAGTTAAATCACACATTCACTAATATAGAACTCTTAAGTATGATGATTCAGATAAGCAAAGATCTATTACTGAATATCTAAGTAAGCTGAAAAGAGTCACAAAGACACCTTCCATCTATACTTTCTTCAATTTTTCCTCTGTGTATCCATGGATAGAAATAGGGTTGCACCCTCTACCCTCACACAGACTGTGCATTTGCCCCCAAGGAATAGAAATCTGCTTGTTGAAGAGATAACTGTTTCTGCATGTTTTGTGTTCTGTGTGTGTGCACATGAGTTTGTGTGCTCACATGTGTGCAATTAGACATTATTCACCTATTAAAAGGAATACATTCTGTTATTTGTTGCAACAAGGATAACATTGAAAGATGCTGTGTTCCATGAAATAAGTGAAACCCAGAAAGACATGTGTGTGACTCTTCTTCATTCCTGTTATAAGAGGGAATTCATATCCCATGTATGTGTGGATGCTGAAATATTGGTGTCAGAGATGTAGAGATAAAATCTAGATCGATAGAACTTAGGAAGAGTTTGGTTGAAGGGACAGGGTACAATGAGGCCATGAGAATGACCTCTAATGCCCTAAGCAGGTCAGAACGATTATGGACAGCTACTCTGATTCCCTGAATTATTTAAAACATCATACTTCTGGCTCAGCTACAGCTCAGTTGGTAGAGTGCTTGCTTAGCTTGCTTAGCTTTGGGTGTGATTCCCAACACAACATAAATTAGGTGTGTAGAAAGCACGTATTCCCAGAACTTGAGAAGTGAGCAGGTAAAAAGATCAGAAATTTAAGGTCATCATCCTTGGATAAATATCAATTTCATGGTCATCTGGGGCTATAAAAGACACTGTCTCAAAATAAAATAATCAAAATAAATGTCCCATAAATATTACTATATACAGCTACTATGTATTGTTGATTATAAAATACATATTCTGAAAACTTTTTTTTTTGGTTTTTTGAGACAGGGTTTCTCTGTGTAGCTTTGGAGCCTGTCCTGGAACTCACTCTGTACATCAAGCTGGCCTTGAACTCATAGAGATTCACTTGCCTCTGCCTCCCGAGTGCTGAGACTAAAGGTGTGCACCATCACCGCCAACCTGGAAACTTCTTAAAAACAAGAGATTTTATGGTTTTCTTAATGAAAACAGGGTAATAAAAAGAAGGAATAATATCCTTTGTTATTATGCACACATACACAGGTACATAGTGCATGCATTAGTGATATTTGCAAACATGTATTGTGTGACATTTTTTCCTTCTTCCACTGATTAACTCACTGTAAGAAATACCATAGAGTTTTACATAATCTGTGTGAAAATTTAGTGAAGACCGAGAGGGAAAAAAACCCTCCAATATTTCTTTACACTATATAATGTTGACTAAACTCTTTAAGCTTCTGTTTTAGCACATGTACCTTGTCCACATGAATTTTTAGAAGCGTTAAGCAGCTGATGCCACCAAAGGACACCAGAATATAACATAAAGCTGCCACATAATAACAGCTGACATATCAGGAATCTCCAGTGTCACCAAGTCCTAGCATTGCTATTATCACGAATACGAGAAAATGAAGCATTTATATGTTTACAATGCAGAGTTATATATCACTTTCTTTTTCTCCTAGAGTACTGCCTTCTACAGCCCAACCTGGACTAACACCCACAGAGGGCATTCATAATGCCAGTCTTACACTTGACATTGAATTCTTCACACTCTTTTTTAAACCCCAAATCCCTCACATTCAATGTCTTCCTCTGTTCCTCAGAATAAATTCTCAGAGTATCTTTATAATGTGTTTGTGTTTCGTTCTCAGGAGTGCTTACTACTGGGTCATGCACAGAGACTGATTAAAGCTTGGCATATTCATTAAGAGGACTCTGTCCCAGACCTCGTCAGTCCTGTTTGACTCTTCACTTACTTTCATTTATCCGTGTTTTGAGACAGTCTCTCTCCTATGCCTGCGCCTAGAGGATGCTAAAGACACCCCGCCCCCTTCTGTCCTCTAAGAAGGACAGGCAACAGGCCTGGCAACCATGCCCATCAGCTGAGTTGTTTGTTTAAGGAATCTTACGTGTGGAGCAGAAAGAGCCCAAGTTGGTGGTCTGTTGAGTGAGAAGCCCAGCTGTGCTGCAGAGGTGTGCTACTCCCAGGGATTGGATGGACCTGGTGGGTGACAGGCACAGGTGCTCTAAAGATGTAGTCCAATTTAAAGATAACAGGTCCCTTATGTGGTGGTGATACAAGTGCCTGTGTGAGTGGGAGTTCTGGTTCTGCTTCCTTCTCCTCCTCCTCCTGTAAAGGACCACTGCACCGGAAGTGGTTTCCTCTCCTTTAAAGTGAAAGACATGGAAGTGGTTAAGAGCCACGCTGCTCCTGCAGAAGACTGGAATTAGGCTGTTAGTGCCCTCATGGGGCAACTTAGAAGTGCCTGGGACTCCAGCCCCTGGGGATCCTGACCTTCTCCTGGCCCCTGCAGGGACCTGCAGTCACAAGCGCATGGACCCTCACAGTGAGACACAACTAGACAGACAACTGAAAACAAAATGCATCTTTTAAAAAGAAGAAATAAAATAAAGCAAGTAAGAGCGAGGCTTCCGGAGCAGGATGCCCCCATCTTCAGCATCTTAGTTCTGTGATCCCTTAGCAAGGTGCAATGTAGAACGTGCTGCCTAGGAAACTGCGACGTGCTGCCTAGGAAACCGGCACTCATCACCCCTGCCGGGAAAGAGCAGAAGTCAAAGATAATGAATGTTGGTGAGGATGACATGAAAAGAAGCTGTTTATACCATCGGTGGGAATACAAATGGTATGGTCATTATAGAGGCCATAAAGGAGAGCTCTCTTACAAGAGGAGAACTTCCAAGAGACACGGCTGTCAAATTCCCAAGGGGAAAACCAAAGAAAAGTAAATCACGTTTGTTTTTGCAAACTCCCATGTTGACTGAGCATTTATCCCATCAGAGAGGATGTGAGTATCTTATAATTCTGTATTTGAATAACTGAATAAATGCAGCGCAGCATACACACATGTGCGTGCACACACACACACACACACCTCTCCAGGGATATACCCCAGAAGAAAATGACTGTTCTCTTTTAGCAATACTGATTTCTAATAGCTCCTCAGTGGAAAGTGGAACCTCTTGCACCCCCCTCTCCATGCGTCTAGTCCTAGGGAATGCTGTAACCCTTTGCAGGACAGAGAAATTCTCATTCAGCAGACGGTAAACACAGGCTCTTTCTGCTCCGAACATGAGATTCCTTATAATCTTAGTGCTGAAATGGAGTTAGATGAATCCTTGGAACTCCCTGGCCATCTAGCCTGGATAAATGAACATGTTCCAGGTTAGGGAGAGGTCTTGTCTCACAAACTCAGATGGAGAGCGCCTAGAGACTAGTAGTGAAGACTGTCCTCTGACCTCCAGTGGTACACACACACAAATGAGCGTTCACATTAAATAAATAAGCAAATAAACATAAAAGAAATGCATGAGCATTCCCTATCTTCCTGCACGAAGGAACAAAGCCCTCTGGTGCTCTGTGTTTGCAGAATACACTTAGAGCACCAGACAACACACATGGAGAACATTGTCAGACTCTTTGATATTGAAGTTGTATGTCAATGTCTTTCCATTTGCGGAGTCGACATTTATCAGTGACCTCATTACAAAGTCAGTAAAATAAAAACTTTAACCCCAATTACTCTGAAGGAAACCAGTCTCTCAGATTCTCTCTCTCTCTCTCCCTCCTTCTCTCCCTCACTCCCTTCTTCACTCCCTCCCTCTCTCCATCTGTACTTGAAATGTAGGCTGAAGGTACATTCGCAACTGTGTTTTAATGTATCCCTCCTTCACAGTAACACTTCACAGCTCAGAAACACCTGCACACACGGATGGTTCCCCATTGTCTCACTCTCTTTGCCCCTTACTTAGGGTGCCTCCCACTGCCTGTCTCTGCCTGCAGGATGTCCTATGACCAGTTTGGCAGCTGACCTGTGGAGCTCACATTGTCAGAAGTCCCCATTGGTTCTAGAGGTTCATTGTGTGTCTGCCACTGTACTGAATGCTTCTCTTGGGCTTGATTACTGACTGTCACAGACACCCAGTAAGTGGTGTGTGTGTGTGTGTGTGTTGATGGGCAGGGTGTTCCTCATTTTAGTAATATCAGATATACGAGGAAACAGAAGCCAGGGAACGTTTAAAGTGCACAGACCTTGTAGACAGGCAGAATCAGGCTCAAAGATATCGCTAAAGGGCTGTCAAACACTAATCTACTTTATTTTTATTTTTTTTAGAGACGGGGTCTCGCTATGTTGCCCAGGCTGGAGTGCAGTGGCTATTCACAGGCGCGAT